ATTTGCCTCTTCCGTCTTTTGGCCTCCTCGCCCTCCTCGTTCGACCGTTCCCGCCCCGACCTTGACGACCTCAAATCTTGTGTCTGCGGAAGGCTTCCCCCTTCCTCCGCGGCCTCGACCTCGTCGCCGAGCCAGCGCAGCGCCTCCCGGACGGTCCTGTCGCTTAGCCCTCCAGCCTCGCCTGTGCTGCGGTCATCTCCCGGGGACCCGGTTTCCCACCAGGTCCCTCTCCCGCACCTTCGACACGAGCATGATGCCGTCCAGCGTCGGGCACCGCGATAGCTGCACGTACAGGCTGTACGGGTCGCACTGCGACGGGACGGCGCGTCCGCCGACGTTGGTCGTCCTCGTGCCCCGCAACTCGAGCGCCACGCGCTCCAGCGTTCCCCCCTGCACCTTGTAGTCCGTGCACGCGAAGGCGGCGGCGCACGGCAGGCCCTTGCGGCTGACGTCGTTCTGCTGCCACGGTCGCTTCCGCTGACGCTGGATCCTGACGCTCATGGGCGTCAGCAGGATCGTGCCGGGCGGCATTCCGACGAAGTGGAAGTCCTTGGTCGTCTCCGACCCCAGTATGATTGCCGCCGGCGGCCCGAAGTGGATCGCCATGCCGGCCGAGATGCGATGCCCGGGGTGCGCCTTGTCGACGATGACCTCCGCCGCCGTGTAGCTGGCGCCGTTCACCAGCTTCAGGCCCTGGTGGGTGTTGCGGTTCACGACGACCGGCATCCCCGGCACGAACATGAAGACGGCCGGCACCGGGATCGCGCTGTCGTCGCCCTGGTTCAGCATCATGATGGCCTCTTCCTCGGTCGGCAGGCCGTCCTTCCACTTGTGCTCGGAGAGGAAGATGCGCAGCGTCGACCGCCGCTGGGTCTGGAACGTCAGGCTCGCCTCCATGTTGAGGTTCTCCGCTGGAACCATCTTGCTCGATCAACTGGCGGCTTCGGTTGAAGCGCCTTTTCTATGTCTGCCAAGCTGATCGCTTGTATCGAGAACGCGTCGCACGTCTGGCGTCTCTTTGCACGCCGGCACTCTGCCGTGAACACGGCTGCCGACACAAGTCTTGCGCTTCGAATTGCGCGTACTTTGGCGGGCTCTTCCTGCCCCACGAGGCGTATCGTCACGCCTGCTCTTCCGTGGTACACTTGCCGCTTAGCAGCGTCGTACACGACCTGGTTCCTCCATCCAAGGCCGGCCAAGGAACATATCCTGGCCGAGGCTTGGGACGACGTACGCAAAGGTGCGTTCGTCAAAACCGGCGGTCTCCACAACGACAGCCACAACTCCCGGCGACGTGACACTTTCTGAGGACTCCGAGAATCCCCCGATCTCTCGAGGCTTCGAATCAACGAGAGGGATCCGAAACTTCCGGACGACCGCTTCGTCAATCACGGCATAGCAGTCACATCCACTATCGACTAGGACGCGTATCGGATTGCCTCTGTTGAGCCGTGCGTTAACGAGCACGGGTCGACTATTCATACGCGGCTTGAACGCCTCCCAGTCTTGGACATCTGCCTTCGAAGGCCCCGGCGCCCGCTTTCGCACCGGGGCTAGTCTTTTCCATCGGCTCGTCATCCCCATTGGATGTTGCGGCCGACTCGAATCATCGCTAGCATCCGGCTGCTTCACCCGGGCGGCTCCTGACCGTTTTTTCTTCGCTTCGCCAGGAAAGACCAAATGAGCTGGGCATTCCGCGACGAGATGACCCTTCCGGCCGCATCGGTAACAGCGGCGCTCGTTCTTGGGCGCCGCATCTGCGTTGCGACGTTTCTTCGGCTCGTGACTTGTACGGCTGACATCTGCCATCTTGGTATCTCCGTCTGCGTCGCGGCCTCGACTATCATGGGTTGCACCACCGCTTCGAAGGGCGTTCCTTTTCTACACATTCTAGACCTGAGGACAGCCTTTGAAGAGATTGGACCCATTCCGAGTACGTGGAGCGAGTGGGCGCCGCGTAGACAGTTGCCAGTCGCAACTCCGGACTCAGGGCGCCCTCCAGGTAGCTGATTTTGACTTCTTCCGGCCAGGTGGCGCCGCCGGAATCAGCGAGTTCTTTCTCGAAGCGAGGAGCAGTGTCGCAAAGCTTTCCTTGTCTCTTTGCCTCAAGGATCGCAATTTGTCCAGCGCGCGAGTCCTGGCGTTCGGGTCCCCGTAGCACTCTTCCAAATATTGGAGGTACTGGTCCGGATCTGAGTCTCCACCCTTCCTCCGGCTTCTACATACGCGATCGTCATTTGCTGAGGCACCCCTAGTCGCGCGTAAATGTAGGCGAACTGGTCCGCCTTATTCCCAATTACCCTTCCGTCTACACGAAGCTTGTTCTTCATCTCGCTCAGCCAAGCGCGAAACTTGGATCGAACGCCCTCGAATCGCGGTGGGTCTGGGAGAGTCGGCCTAGTCTTCCGCAATGGTGTGTCGACCAAACGATTCAGTTCATGCAGAGGTTCCGCTCTGCTCTCCGACTCGGTCCCCAAGAGCGTTGGTCTCGAGGTCGTCAGACTGTCTTGCAGCAGTTGAATCTGCTCGCGCGTGGCGTCGCGATCGGCATCGCGGTCGGCACGCAAACCTTGCATCTGTTCAGCCATCTGGCTCATCATCTGCATGACGAGCTGGGAGGTTCGCTCGGGAGCTCCCGTCTGCAAGGGTTGAGTCCATCGGTAGTGAGCTCTAGATATGTAAGAGGCTGGCCCGGAGTTTACTCAACAAGCAGGTGCCTATGTGTTGTCTATCTAGAGCTAAAGAGGAAAGGCTGAACTCGAGGCGAAGCCTCGAGTCCGAGCTTATATCGCCTCTTATAGAATGTTCTCGCAACTCCGGGCCGCGGCGGCCGGTGTTTCCATCCGAGCATGATCCACCGGACCCGGTACAGCCGGGTCCACCAAGGGCACAGCCCGTGACAAGTGGCGATGTTACTCGCAACGCCGCTGTTGCCTGCTAGGCAACCGATACTGCGTAATCACGCGACGGACCTTTCATTTGTGTATAAAGAGCTGCACAACCCCGTGCGTTCGTTCGTTCACTTCTTGTTCTTCAGATAATTCTCATTCAATTGCCTGATGCCATCTCTGACCCATGTGGAGCCAAAATGTCTGACACCGCATGTCTAAAATAAGCGTCGATGCTAGTACCTTGTAAGACAGGCAGCAAGAGCACCTAGCCGAGCAGAGTCTCCGCACGTTGGCTTCGGCTTCGCATTCACGCGCAAGGTTATCCACCTGGCAGTTGCCACTAACCGCTAAGTGCCGGCTCGCAAGGCGCCGGTAACGACCACGCCGTTGCCAGTAATCGCTCGGCTGCGAGTTCCTGTCAACCAGGGGCTGCCAGTAACCTATGGGCGTCGGTTGTCGGTACCTCAAAGGGACCGGTAACCTCCGGGCGCTTAGCCATACGCTGCTAGTAACACCCATGAGAGAGGTGCCAGTAACCATTGTGGAGCAGAGTTCGGTCACCAGTACCATGCCCCACCCCCCTTTCGGTAACACCCACCTTTCGGTAGCGCATTAGAAAATATCCCCACCAAAAACCATCAATTTCACTTACACCGATTCCAGCCAGCTTTGAAGATATTCACAAGCCGTCACTTGGTAGATAGAGGATTGATTGAATTCTACTTTTCGATGGTTGAATGTTTGTACAAGGGTCTGTGGCCTGTGCGTACCTTGCACGCGAAATTACCATCCAACCAGGCTTTCTAATCATACGCGTATGGTTTATATAAACCATATATTGCCCATATATTGCCAGTAAACCTATACCATACGAGATCAGTCGTATGACCATATATGGCCATACGCGGGGGAAAGTTCCTCCGAGGTTACAATTTCGGCGAAGAAAAGATCATTCGGCGATTGATGGTTGCATGCCAACATCTCCCGAGAAATATATCGGAACTACAGCAACATACTCTGTTGTTCTATTGACGTTCGGGGAAGATTCCACAATGAAAAAGACCGAAATGACTAACTGCTCTGTGTGTATTCATCGTTACGGTAGAAATGAGTAAAGATCGCGCGACATTACAGATCATGCCTCTAATCTCGCCGAAGAAGAACAAAAATCTCAGATCAGTATCGCTCAAGCGGTTCTAGGGTAACCGACGTCACATTGGACGTCACCTCCCAGAATCCCGTATAGGCAGATCGGAATAAATTGGAGCTACTAAAGACCTTGAGATATCCAGTTAGCACCTAACATTCTTCGTCACTCAGGGTTTCATGCCATTATTCATCCGGCTTTGTGCCGTTTGCGACTCTGATGACGAGTCCACCCATCTTCCGCGGGCCAGCTGACGATGACAGTTTCGTATCCGCCACAGCCATAGAGGCCTCTGGGATCCAAGACGCACAAGGCTTAGCATCGTTCGAACCTAGTACCGCGACAACTTCCAAGCGCAAAAGAATGACCACAGCGGATGCCACTTGGCAACACACACGGAAACCTCAGGGATCCGAGCCTGAGCGTTGTGGGCCAAAACGGGATTTGGTGTTCTACTGCAAGTATTGCAATAACCCGTCCTATTCGACTTACGTCTCTACCACATTTCGCAACCATCTGCTGAAGATACACACGATAGACGTCGCTGGTCTTGAGTCAACCCTGGCCAGAAAACATGTCATAACCTTCTGAAGACGCTTTCAACAAAGCCGGAGAGGTTGATCTTGTCAAGTTTCAGGAAAGAGAGAGCAGGTTTTGCGAAAGGCAATCAATCCGAAGGCCGCAATGGAAGCTTTGGTTCAGCTTGTCACCGTGCGAAACCTCCCATATAACTGCAATACCTGGCCTGAGTTGCATGCTTTGCTCATGGCAGCGAATTCCACTGCGGAAGGGCTGATCAGCACCTCACATGGCCACATTCAAAAGCTTTGCATGAACTCTATGCAATCCATAAAGATATCTTACGAAAACGGCTTCAATCTTCGCCCTCCAAGCTTCACCTCTCTGCCGACGTATGGAGCGCGCCGAATCACAAAGGTTTCCTCGGAATATGTGTCCAGTTCATGCAGGACGACCAAAGAAACCCTTCTCAAGCATTGCTGGCTTTACCTGAGCTTCCTGGCATCGATGGTCCCGGTAGTCACGGTGGAGGTGAACAATGGAAGCTGCTTCAACCAGTCATTGAGGACTACGGCATATCAAGTCTGCTAGGGTACTTCACAGGAGACAACCACGGTTCCAATGATGTGCTTTGCCGCCTGATGAGCAGCTTTCTAGAGAGTCAAGGCATCGCATGGAATGCAAAGCATCGACGGATCCGCTGCCATGGCCATGTGGTCAATCTTTGCGTCCAGGCTTTTCTTTTCATGGACAACAAAGAGGCCGTACTCGAGGCATGTAGACAGATTGAGGAGATGGATGAAGCGCCGTGCGACTTGGACATGATGCAAGGGTGGAAGAAGCGGAAGGAACGTGGCTGGAGCCAACTTGGTCCGCTCGGCAAGGTGCATAATATTGCGGTTCATATCAGAGCCAACGATTACAGGTACAACACTTTCCGTCAGCGCGCAGGAAGGTTCTCGGGCTCGACAACGACACACGCTGGAACTCTTGGTTCCTCCTACTGGATACTGCTCTTGAAAAGGAGGAACACGTCAAGTGGTATCAAGACAAATACTACGAGACACTTGTCAATGACTATCTGGCACCTCGAGACTGGCAAGCCCTTCGAGATATAAGAAACTTCTTGCAGCCATTCTGGAGAATAACACTCCTTACTGAGGGCTATCGCTCAACACTAGACCGCACGCTCTTCACGATGGATGTCCTTCATAAACACTACCAGCAAGCTTTCGAGAAATACAAGCTCAATCAACAACTTCTCGGCCCGGTGCTGACCAGCTGGCACGTTTTCGACAAATATTATCGGCTTTCTGACGAGACCCCGGCATACGGTGCAGCCCTGATTCTTCATCCGTCTCGAGGAAGGCTCATATTGAGAAAACTGGCCCAAGTCATGGCATAAAAGAACCTTCGACGCAGTGAGAAAGCTCTGGGAAGAAGAGTACATGGATCTGCCGACAATTTCTGTCACGCCTTCCAAGGTTTCAGTACTGCAACAGGACGAGTACGACTTACTCGCACAGGAACTCGATGTCATAGGCAAGGGACCAGACGCAGACGAGTACGAAGCCTTCACATCGCAGTCGCCTATTCAGATTGACGGTTCACCACTTTCCTGGTGGCATCGTGATGAACACCGTGAACGTTTCCCTCGGTTGTCCAAGATGGCGATAGACATACTCTCAATACCCGCCATGTCTGCGGACCCAGAGCGCACATTCTCAGGCGCAAGGCGCACTATCTCTTGGGATCGAATGCTTCTCGGAGCATCGACAGTCGAGAGAGGAGAGTGACTGAAAGCTGGATCCGCAGCGGCATCACGGCAGGGTTACGAATAGAGGAGGTTGAGCAATACGGGTCGAGTCGGCCGAAGAGTGCAGTAATAACACCCCTTGGGCACGGGAAGTATGACCCAATGACGTCATTTCTTGTATGGGCAATATATGGTTTAGTTCACCATATGAAAATAAATCATACACCATAAACCATACAGGTCCATATGACGTATGGCGTATGGTTAGAAAGCCTGCATCCAACCCCCTAATCTCCTTCCGCCTCCTGACGATGATTCTTCTCGTTATTCCTCCACCACATGACCAAAATTACCTTAAAGCGGCCTCAGGTATTTATACGGAGGATATTATGCCTAATGCGATAATTGGTGTCACAGGTCCCGGGGCCGGCTGACCGGTCATCCGGTAATCGGATTACCGCCCCGCCCCGCAAAACCATGTCGTTTTCGAAGGCCCGGCCTGCGGGCTGGCGTTTTCTTAGTCGGATTACCGCCATCGGACGGCAAAATCGAAGGTCCACGCCCGCGGGGCCTCCGCGAGACCTTCGATTTCGGTCTCGCTCACGCGCGTTGCGCTCCACCTCCCTCCTCCCACCTCCCTCCACCACCTCCTCCATTGCCACCGTCGCGACGGCGACCGCCTGCACCATGTCGAACGCGATAGAGGATCCCCGGGTCAGGGCGGCCATTGAGCACTACCTGTTAGATCTGGAGAACACCCAGCCGAAGAATACGAAGCGAAATTATCGTCCCAAGCAGGAAGAATGGAAGGCAAGCCCGCATGCGCGCCCTGCAATCTTCATGTAGATCCATGCATTGACTGCCTCACAGGAGTGGTGTCAAGCCAACTGGCCTGCGATCCCGGACGTTTGGCCGGCCTCGGTACCAGGGCCAACAGCTACCGGGAGACCTGGTCGATGAAGGAAAGCTCTTGCCTTCATGAAGGAGGTAGTGGCATCACGTCCTCCAAAGAAAGGAAAGAGGGTCGCCGATGAAAGAAAACGACACCTCGAGGCTCAGGAAGCCAAGAGGGCCGTGAAAGACGCAGAGCACCATCAGGTAACAGATGTTGATCACGGGATGTGGTCGTCGGACTGAGCCAGCCCATCATACTAACACCCAGCTTCCCCAGCAGATACCATCGTTGTAGGCGGCGGAGGTAGCGAATACGAGTCAGACTCCGACTTGGAGTTGTATGAGTCCACGCTCAAACTACAGTATAATACTGTACGGGGCTACGTCTCGGCCATACAGAAGCTTTACGACGAGCAGAAGAGCCGGGAGTCAATCCTGCGGCCCGGCCACGGGAGTGGCACTGAAGGCGCTCAAACGCAGCATTCTTGCAACGACTTGGAGCCGGAAGAGGAAGGAATACATGGACAGGAGTTGGAACTCTGAGAGATGTGTATGCGCCGGCGCAGATGCCCGACCACACCAACGTGGCATGGTCCGAGAGAGAGAGATCGCCTGCGCCCTGAGGACGCAGGTGGACTTTCTGCTCGGGAACCACATGCTGCTGCGGTCCGGCAACCGCCTGCCGATGGAGTTGGCAGACTGCTTTCCCTGGACTTACCCAACGAGGGCTTCAAGGCCCAGGGTATACCACGAAGGCGCTGGTTGTCGTGATGAACTGTGGGAAGACCAACCAGCACGGCCGCATGGAGTATGGATCTGCTTTGCGGCATCGAGATCCGCGATCTTGTCTCATCGGCGCCCTCGCGTTCTGGCTTTTCTGGCGCTGGCAGGTAGAAAAGGCGGAAAGGTTTCCCGTCTTCCAAGCGAAGACTGGTATGAAACGAAGGTGCTCCGCCGATCGGCGAAGGAGCCTCAAGGTAAGCGTGATGGCATTCACCGGAATCCCATAACTCAGAGGGTGCATCGACCCTTTCACTCACCGAATATACAGCTCCGTTGTCGGGCCAGACTGCCCGAGAATGGACGTCCAGGTTCTACAAGAAGGCCGGCATCAAGGTCTCCAAGGTCAGCCACGCGCCTAGAGTGGCCGCGACGCAAAACGCCGACATGGCCGGGTGGATGAAGGCCAGGCATGTCATCTGCCCTAGGCAAGCCGCCAACCCCCTGGCCTGGGCTGACCCGAACTATACAGATCCGCCGAGCCGGTCGTTGGAATAACGGAGACCAAATGACCGGCTGCTATCTGACTTCCCTGCCTTTCGAATTCGCGAGGCCGTGGCCGACTTTGACCCTGAATGGTCGGGGTCTTATTTCGTGCCCGGGCCACCGTGAGGCCGCCTGTGGTGCTACTCGTGCAGGTCTGGCCTCAACTCGACAAATGGAAAGAGGCCCAGTAGCCCTTTCTCAGATCTCGGGTGGAGCAGAACATGGCCGCCGGCGCCTTCTTGGAACTCCTGGAGTGGCTTCGAGAGGTGCTCCTGCAGGACGCTGTCTTCCTTCGCGAGTCCTACCCCGACCATCCTATCTTTCAGGATCCGGTCTTTCTTGCCCCGAGTTTGAAGCGTTCGCCAGCAAAGTTCAAGACACATGCACACGGGACCACGAAGACAGCCATACCACGGTCATTCAAAAGCGATCCCGGTGGTTGCGGAGAAGCTGCGCACAGTACTGACTCAACAGGTCGCAGCCGAGCAGTTAGCTGAGCGAAGACATCTAGACCTTTTGGGGGCTTCTTACGAACTATGCACAAAGTTGGATGAGTTTGCGCAGGCCACCTACACCGTCACCTTCAGCCCCGGCCAAGGTGCTGCAGGTCAACATGCGGAGATCGCGGGAGCTCATCAACAGAGGCGCCGCGCTCCACGAGAGACGGTCCTCAGGTCCGAGATAGGCCCTTCGCAAGCGGGCGGTCCGACATACGCTCCGCTCTCTCTAGAGCAGCAGCAGGGAATGGTGCAAGCGGGCCAGGGGCAAGCCCCCCAGGGAAGAGCGCATGGCGAGCCGCCTGGGCCGCGCGAACCTCCGAGCTTCAAGCTCCCCCGTTCTGTCAAATCTGTACAGGAGCTGCTGCGTCTCTGGCGGCAGGGCTGGGGCGAAATGCCTTCTGTGGATTCTCTTGAGCGAGACTGGGGTGCTCGATGGCGGCCATCTGCAGAGAAGAATTACCTTTCCACGCGCAAGATCATCGTCGATGAGGTTCGGAGGCGGGCCCAGTCGGACGGCTTAACTGAAGATATCGTGGCGAGGCAAATGGACGAAGAACGTGGACCCAGCTCTTTGGATAAGTTGTTCAAGGCCATCCGAAAGGACAGGCAAGGCGAAAAGGGACACAAACGTGCGTCAGGGCAATTCAACGTCGGTGGTAGCGAAAAGTCGATGGCGCAGTGATTTTGAACACCCGTCTGATAGAATGACGAGGACCTTGGCGGCGAAAGTGCCCCAGGCCGTCAGGGCCGCGTCGCTACAGTCAGCGGTAGTGGCCTGTAGACAGGGTATGCATCCGCTAAGCGCCGCTGTAGCTCCAGTGCGTCAAGGCTAGAAAATGCTTCAAATCACCGCAACCTCGCAACCGACAGGATGTAGGACCTTAGACAGGGTGCATTCTGATCGCACAAACGCAGGCTATCCAGTCGAACTGGTTTTCTCGTCGTCGGTCCCGGCTTTCGCGCTTTATGGCGCTCCGAAGATGACATCAACCCGGCAGAGGTGATGTCAGGGCGCGGGTAATCGGCGGTAATCTGCGGGTAATCCGCTGACCGCCCACCAAAGCCGGACCTGTGACATCCACTTGATGTCACAAAAACGGCTTGTCGCAGTACCGCGCCGCCCAAAGTATGACATACCTCAGCAGTCTATTTCCGACAGACTCAAAGGCCAGGTAGCCTGGCTGATCAGATCCAGCCTCGTCAACTCTTGAGTAAGTCTCAGGAAGCTCGCTTGGTTTCTTGGATCCTCCGCCAAGAGTCTCGGCTATGCTCCATCCCACAGTCAGATCCGCGCATGTGTGGAGGCTCTTATGAAGCAACTGAACAACGAGCGGACAGTGGGCGCAACTGGGTCTCTAAATTCATCAATCGCCATCCGGACATCAAGAACAAGCGTGGAGACGTCAGGAAGCTAACCGATTTAATGCTTTTACGCCTCGGGCGGTTCACTGGTTCTTCGATATCAGGGAAAAGGAGTATGGATGGATTAAACCAGAAAATACCGTGAATGTTGACGAAGGCGGTATTATGTCTGGCTTTGGTGAGTATTTGGCTTGTCTTTCATTACTTTTACTAACCAGACTCTTTTGCCAGGTTTGGATAGTCTTGTGGTTGGGAGTGCAGACCCAAAGGAAGGCCCTTCTGAAAGGGCCACAGTCCCGCAACTGGACCTCATTTATTGAAGCTATCACCGCGGACGGCCGTGTCCTTACCCCTGGCATTATCTTTAAGGGCAAAGAACTTCAGAAACAGTGGTTCTTGACGGAATTCGGCAAAATAGCCGACTGGCATTACATAACGTCGCCCAACGGATGGACGGACAACCATATCGCTATTGAGTGGCTTGAGAGGGTCTATTTGCCCCAGACGCGACCAGCCGATGCCTCAGATGCTAGACTGATCATATTAGATGGACATGGAAGTCATGCAACGGTGCATTTCTTTATCCACCTCTGTAGGAATTACCGTTAACCGGGACCAGGATGCATGGATGGCCACATGCTTTTGAACAACGTTTATTGCTGTTACCTTCCTGCCCACTGCTCATGGCCTCCAGCCGTTAGATAACGGTGTATTCAATGCCTCCAAGGCAGCTTACCGGAAAGAACTGAAATTGACCTGTTTGACCGATTCTGCGCCTGTTCATAAGGTCAATTTTATACGGGCATATGCTAAAGCGCGCGAGGTTGGAATGACGGCAAAGAATATATTGTCCGGCTGGAGGGTCACTGGGAATTGGCCGATCTCACGATCCAAGGCATTGCGGCATCCAGAAATTCACGCAGACATTGTAGAGACGTCTCCAAAGTCCGCGCCATTTTGGGTTCTGATGATACGCCAGAAACAGCCGCCAGATTCGCGATTTCGGAAGAACAAGACTCCTGGCACCCGGAGACGATACGCCGTGATAGCTAGAGGCTTTGAAGCCCAGAACAGACGCTTGCCGAGCACAGCAACAGAATCGCGAAGCTAGAGGAAGAAGTGGCCCGGCTGCAGAGAGGCAAGAAGAGGCAATTCCGAACCCGAACAGACGGTTCATGACTCTCAGTGAAGCTTTGGTGGCTGAGGAAGCCATTCCCCAAATTAAAAGCCAAGAGATAGCCGTTGTGCTGAATTCTGACACAGAGGAGGAGGCGGTCTCAGAGGTGGAGACAGCTTCAGTGATCGAAGTCAAGGTGGCACCTGAGGCCCTTTTTGTCACCACTAGATCCGGGCGAATGGTAAAAAGCGCCGGTACATATAAGAGCGTCCATTTCTCTACGGAATGATATTTTTTTGTGTTTATAATGTTAAGTTCTGATCATATTTCATGTAGTTCAAATGGTAGACTTTTGGTGGAGAATTTTTCAATTGCGCTACCGAAAGGTGGGTGTTACCGAAAGGGGGCATGGTAACCAGTGTGACGTTGGGCGCCTGGGATTACTGGTTACCCAAGGTCAGCAATCTACAGGCGCCAGTCACCTTTAGGCTCTTGTTCCTGGTCGCTAGGTGCTGCTGGTAACCGCCCAGCCACAGTGCCAGCAACCATTCATGCGTTGTTGCTGGAATCTCGTAGTGGCCAGTAACCGTGCGTTCGCAGTTATCGCTCGCCTGTAGTGAAGGCTGTTTAGCAGCATGTGAACAGAAGCCGAGCCAACGAACACCGAGTCCCAGCCCGGTTGCTTGCAATCATGATCACCAGGGCGGTTGCGAAAGCTCTGGTCAGATTCATGCCCCATTCAATGTATGCGCTAGGGTCAAGCGGTCCGATTGAGGGAAAAATTAGAGTGTCTTGTTTGCCTGAAACTTCACGTCCCGCCTGTTGGAAGCAGTAGGGCTTCGAGCAGCAGGAACGGAAAAGATACGAAAGGCTATTCCACAACTTGCAAATGATCTCGTAGCAAGCCGCGTTTCCTGCTACGAGCTCCAAACCCGTCTCTCTGCCGCTTCCTCTTATCCCGGATAACTGGAATAGCTGCTTGTGTTTGGGAGCTGGAAGGAGGTCGGCGCGGTCGAAGTCAACAAGCATGACGCGGCGGCGCTCGTCGTTCCAGAGCAGGTGCACCGCCGGTCGTCAACAGGGCAACGTTACACAAAGTCAGTCTACTTCGCACAGCTGTCGTAAATGGTGTTTCACCATCTGGGCTCATTTTCGGCCAGAATTGCAAGACTGTTAGCCGCGAGGTTGAATGCTGAAGCTAGATGTCGGCAGCCATATCCCGCCTCAGATGCATGACGTAGATAGAGCAGTGGTCGGGAACCGGCTGCAAGTCAACCCTCATCGCCCTCAAATTGTCCGCGGCATCACATCAGCTATCCACCAATGAAATCACCCTTATCGGTGCTCTCTGAGAACCGATGCAAGGGGGTGATAGGTTATCATTCCCAAGGCCATCGGCGTCCACACCTGGACGACCTCAAGCTTGCGCCTGCTCGTCTTGCAAGGTCCTGTCACGGGTGTTTGTATTTCATTGCCAGCTGCCCGTCATTTCCAGCCAAATCCTACATTGTTCGACAAATATCCCAAGATGACCTTACCTCCCAATGCAACTTGGCCAGGAAAGGCTGTCGAAGGCGAGAGTCGATTCTCACTCTATTTTCGATCTGTGGCGCTCTTCTCATTTCCGCTGCAAGCAGGCTGCAAGCGGGTCGGCAACCCGCCACAAGGCTCAAACGCGCTTTTTCGCAATTTAAATGACTCTCCTATAGCGCCCGCATCTCGAACATCTCATCCAACTTACCGATGGCCTCATCATAGGCGGCTATAATGGGCCTGTAAAGTTGGTCTGGGTCTCCTGCAGGTTCCAAAGCTCATCCTTTCGTCTTCGTCCAGGAAAGAGAATCTTCCTGATCCTCAAACAGAGAGGCTTGACAATATCAAGCCGCTCTGGAAACTCGCCCATAATCCTTTCGAGACCATTCATAGTCATGTCACCCTCCTTTGCTTTCAATGTCCCTGAAGCTTCCAATTTCCCAATTGCGTAAGTCGCTCTCCTCAGGCGGCTTCTCTTCACCACAAACCCATTGCTCCATGAGTATCGCGCACACATCCAAAGCAAAACATAGAAAAACGACTCAAGATCATGCCGGTAGGTGTGATCGGCCTTGCAGCACCTCGACCGCCATAAACTGCATCGTGCCAGTCTGGTGCCGCGCTCCGCTCGGGCCACTGTCTCTAACTTTGGCCAGGTCAAGGTCGATGAGCATTCCTTTGAAGTCCCTGGCTTCTTTGCGTCTGCGATGATAACGTTGTTTGACGAGATGTCGCGGTGGAGAATGTTGCCAGTGACGTAGAGAGACTGGTGTGCCCTGATAGCGTCTCGGAGCGACTCCAGCAGTTCCCTGATCGATTTGAAGTCGCTGATGACACGGCCGGCTGGTGAGACGACGAGGCAAGAATAGATCCTGTTGTCAAACGGATCCTCGCCCTAGAAGTATACAAGCTTGGTTTGGTCTTGCCGATCGACAGCTGCTCGTTAAAATCCTTGGCCAGCTTTAACTGTCTGTTGGACCGCCGCCTCTTGGATCCAGAAATGTTTTCAGACGTGTTGTCAGAGGATGATTTGCGCTTGTGACTTGCTGTGCCCGTGCTTCCTACGGCCGATGGTAGATCTCTGAAGTGGACATCTTCATCCCGGAACCCGTGAGGTTTGGAAACTCCAGTCCCTTCCGCATGTCTGCAATGGTGGTGATTTGACGGTGCGCCACCACTCGCCACCCCTCCACGCCCTTCTCTCCTGCCAGCTTGAGATGGTCCACCTCAGGTTTCCGCTTATCCGATGCCCAGGAGAACTTAGCAACATGCCCGTTTCGGGTGCGGTAGCAAGTAGTCCCGCGACACACGATAGCGCGCTGCCTGACTATCAGCCCCTCCAGCCTGACTCTTGTTTCGTTGCCGCTTGCGTCCTCCAGAGTGGCACAGCGATGGCCCCCCTCTCGTTCAATGAATGTGTCTAGGCCCATCGCTTCGTCACTCATCGTAGCGTATCCAACAAGAGCTCGCACGAACTTGTCCGGCTCGTCGTGTATATCGAATGACCCCGAGCTAAACGGCCCAGACCGATCGAAGACCCAGAGCTCCATCTTGGAAGCGCAGAGGGAGAACGCGTGGACGAATCGGCGCGTCGGCTGGTCGGCGAGACACCTCGCACATACCGCGTGAGCTGGAGGAGAGTCGCCTTGAACTTGTCCTCCGATTTCTTTTGCTCTCCAACAACGAGAACGTCCTTGTAGGTAAATGTGCTGTTGGCTTTCCTGGCTGGCTTCTGAAAGAAGAGATCCATCTGGCCCTTCCGTTCCTTGAACTGGTTGGCGGTTCGGGTGGTGTATAACTTGTGGGGTGCATCAGTCAAGAAGCGTTCTTCAAGCGCACGGAGCCATGTCCAGACCGCTTTTTCATCGGAGGTGGACGGGAAGTCCGTCCATTTCTTTCCGTCGTGCGCCACCATCATCCTCTTCAGCATTACTTTCTGTTCTTTGCGCCAGCTCTTGGAGTCGAAGAACTTGTCGCAGAATCCTCCCACATTGCGAAAGGTGCAGTCTTTTATCTCGAAGAAGAGCTCCCTTTCGACAATGTCGCGCGTTTCGCCATCGGCAAGTCTGCTCGAGCTGGTCTTGACAGGTGTTCCCTTGTAGGTTGGGACGATGCTGGACGGAGGGGAAGTGAGGGCGCTGAGGGTGTCGATGAGACCGAAGACGGCATCCCAAATGACGACATCAGGAGCATTGTTGACAACAGAGCGAATAAGAGGACGGAAATGGTCGAGCTTCACCCACCTCCTCGAACGAGTCGTTGTACAGAAAAGAGCTTCACCGCCAAATCGCCGCTTCCATCTGGAGCAGGGGTTAAACGCCGCGGTAGAACCCACCAAAGCTGACAGAAGACTGGCGATCTCATCCCGCAATGCTTGGTCGGTTTCGTCGCAACCGCTTAGCTTGACCTGGGAACGGTCTAACGTATCATTAAGCGGGTTCTTGGAGATGAGGCTGATCTGTTGCTCTGTAAGGGTCATTTTTGAGTTGGATAGAGCATGGGTGATTGTTTGGGAAGTAAATGTGAAAGCGAGGCAGAGGTAAACAAGTGGAATCTAAAGACGCGACTGGTCACGTGCGCGTCGCGGGCTTCCTGGGACCATGTATCTCTACTACGTAGCAGGTTAGGCGTCATGATACCCCGTACACACACACCCTCGCCACGTAGCCTCAGGAGATTTCACCAATGAACGTTGGTGCTTGTCGGTTTCATTGCATTAGTTCGGTCATGGTAATCTGGCTGAGTTGCCAGCTGCAATTCTCGCCTGCAATTTTCCACGCCTGCAATTCTTAACACGAACAACTCTCCCACCTGCAGTTCTCCACGTCTGCGATTCTCCTCGCCTGCGATTCTCCACGCCAACAACTCTCCTCACCTGCCATTCCCTACGTCTTCAAGCTCCAACGCCTCAATTCTCTACGATTGGAATCGACATCCAAAATGTGCGCTATCAACGATTCGTCAATCTGCCGAAGTGGCGCAAGAGGCGTATTTAGAGACCCAGTGCACCGGCGGCAGCGCTACGACACGAATTGCCGTTACATTGCTGAACATCGGGATACCGAGTTCCAGAACTTCTCCATCGCGGAGATGATTCCTTTGGCGTTTTACACGCTTTCGACCGATCTAGAGAAGTGCCAGGATATTCAACGTGCAGGTCAAATTGCTGCTGAACGATACGAGTCTGACAATTGCGACATATTTGGTGATTGGTCTTTTCTTGCTTTTTCCTGCTTTCGCTACAAAAGGGCGCTAATCGTCGCTCGGTTTACTTGCCTTCTTGCATGCATAAAACTACCCGTTGGTCAAAGGCAGGCGGGCTGACCAACTTAACTGCCGTTAAGTTGGCCCAAAATCCGGGACAGCACAAAAACCCCGGACAATCCTGGGGCCTAGTAATTTACTAGAAAAGTGTTAGGAAGTTAGTACTTCTTCGAAAATACGCTAAAATCTAAGGTACTTAATTCTTAACAGTTGTATTTGTCGGGAGGTCTGTACTGCAGTAACGCAATGGGTTGTATTCAAGATGTCTTGCTAGGAAGGAGGAAAGGGAATGAGGGGGCACACTACGTGCCCTTTATACACGGATCCCGAGGTCCATACACGTGACGCTAAGGGTCACGTGTGCGTATGTCGCACCTCCCTTACAATCCTACTATCTATATGCTACATTCCCACACTGGCAAATCTTCTTTTATCGCTGCAATCGCAGCAGCAGCAGGTGCGGGAGCGTAGCAGCAACCGCAAGGGTGCGAAAAGAGTGACGGTTCGAGCGGCAGCTAGCGGGAGGGCGTTCGACTGATCCTTCTATCCTAATCGTAAGGCTATTCGTATCGACGAGGCGTTCGAGGGCGCGGTTAGGCGATGCCTTTGTCATAGCATCTGCTGGGTTGTCTGCGCCGTTAATCCAGCGGATTTCTGTGATCTCACGCCTTTCGTAGGATTGACGTAGGCCATGATATCTATCATCAATCGCTTCTCCTTCGTTGTGCCTAGCTTAACGAGGCACTCGTAGAGAAAAAGAGTCGGTGCAAACGATTAGGGGGATAGGGGGAAGATTGAGGCGGTCTGTGATCTTCCGTATCGTCGTTGCTAGTGATATCCCAATATCGAATCCGTTGACCATGCCGTAGATCTCTGATGCTAGCACGCCTCGGTGACCCTCTTACACTTCGTTGAGCTCCAATGGAGGACATTGCCCTTGATCCAGGTGGTCTTTGGTACGTGCGGTCTCGGTCTCATTGACTAGGGCAATGACGAAGCCTATCTGACGATAGGTCCTTATTGTTCGCAAAGGAACCGTCGGTAAAGACGATAAGCTTGGCATTGGCGAGGTCAATAGGGATATACGTTAGGCCTCGCTGCTGGTGGTCTTTCTGCCATTGAAGCCGCTTGTTGAGGTCGTGCAATCCTCTTCCGTAGGGGTTTGGACCTGGGCAGCAATAGAGATGTCGAATGAGGCCTCTGGTTGACAGATTGAAGCCACATACGCGCCACGGGCACGCTGTTCCACGTACTGTTGGGCTCGATCGTATGCCTTGATGTCGATGGGTTCGATCTTGGCTGCTTGACCCTTTTTTGAAGCAGTAGAGCGTTGTGGAAAGTGGTGTCTTGGAGGGTTATCTTTGCACAGTTGAAGTCAATGCTAGTACCCGGGTCATCGTTGTCTTCGGCTTTGCCCGAAATTGTGCCTTTAGAGTTCCGCTTCCTCTAGCGCGGAAAAACGTTGTGTGCCAAGCATAAGGGTATCGTCAGTCTGCATTCCCACAATCCCAAAGTTATCAGGTCCCTTATTCGTAATTAGGAAGCATAGGTCGTAGGTTGATGTGGACATGTCGAGGTTATCGACATGATGCCCGTGGAGTTCGAAACCAATGGACTCCGGCCTCCGCAATTCCGTATAGGGCTTAATAACGCGAATGATTGTTCCTTCCGGGTATCTTCCTTCTAATTCGGCGGGAAGATGCGTGAGAATGGTGCGGAATAGTTCGGTCTGCGCCTGGGGATACGCTTGTGTGATGTCACGAAGAGAGAGGTCATGCCGTGAGAAGGAGGTCTGGGGATAGCAGAAATAAGCCGTTGACTGACGCGTTGAATTGTCGGGATTGCGTCAATGGGTGGTTTTCTCTTGGTCGTTGTGCCCTTGGACCACGAGCCTTGACTTCTCGTATGGTTTGGTTTCTTTGCCTTTAACCTCGCGGACCATGAGATCGGAAGATGATGGTTCCCGTGCTTTGCTTCATTGTAGCGTTCGAAGCTAAACACTCCTCGTACCAATAGATCATCGATCTCCGTGCTATCGGATTCCTCAAAGGGTGCCTGGCGTTGTGATAATGCCTTCGTCCCGTAGCTTGATGGCTGGTTGGTAGGCATCTTCTTCCTTCTTGACTAGGAACGTCGTCTTTGGCTTGTTCTTCGACCAGGGCGGCCTCGCTTGCGCGGCGCCGGGGATTAGGAGCAGGAACAGGGGGCAGGGGAGGGGCAGAAACAGGAACAGAATCGCTCGCAGGATCAGAAACAGGAATGTCAGAATCATCCGCAGCAGCAGCAGCGGGGCAGGGATCGTCGTCTCGTCGCGGAAATAAGGCTGCACAAGGGTGGAACGGAAGGTCTGGGGTCCGTTGATAGTATCAATTGTGACATTGGAGCCATCAATTGCACTAATCTTAAAGGGCCTTGCCAGCCGAGCTTTTCTCTCCACCTCGGACCTCGCTTTGCAGTGGGAGCGATAGTATAACGCCTGTTGATGATGGTCCGTTCTTTGTGTGTAAGGCGCCCTGCACTTGCCGCTCTGCTGAGCTGACGAAGCATTTTCATCGCTTTCTGGGCTGCGGCAGCCCTTTCAGGTCGTAGCAGAGGGCGAATCTAACGCCATTCGAGGTGAGGCGCCAAAGACTAGGAGCGTAGGGACAATGCCATTTGGCCCTGCTGTGTCGTTGATGGCTTTGATAGCCATTTGAAGGATCGATTCGGGGATGTGAGGTCCCGATTTCTGCGTGGAGGATCTCAAACGCACGGCGGAGAGGGGCATGATATCTTTCAACCTTTCCAACGGACCAATGTGCTTCCACAGGGACTTGCTTGCGAGTTATCCCCATAAGCTTTGCCTCGTTACGGAACTCTAGGGAGGCAAAATTGGTCCCTGCGTCGTGCTTGATAGTATCAGGGGTCCGAGATATGTGTCTATCCAGAGGGCTCGGAGGGCTTCCACGTATCCTTTGCTGACATCGATAGGAGGAACCTGGCTGCTTGGAACGCTGTTGCTGTATCTACCACGTGCAAGACGGGGCGTTGAGGGGTTCAGGTAGAGCACATCAGCGACGATTTCGTAGTTGAATTCCTGGTCATCCTTTAGGGTGAATTTGAAGCGTCTTGGAGCTTGAGTGCATTTGACAGTGATGACAGAATCTCGAGATGTTCTCTAGGATATCTATCGTCACATCGTTGTGGCCAGCTTGCCGTAGGAGGTTGTGAAGTCTTGGGACCGCTGGGTGCCCGAATCGACGATGAAAGTGCGGATCTCGCTCTCCGTGAGGAATGCGATAGCGGCCTCGTTGGTCTTAGGTAGGAGGAACCAAGGATGTCCCCATTTGCGGATAACCGGGAGGGTTGTTCGTCCGACAATAGTGTCTGTAAGGTTGTTGAAATAGATGCCTAGGCGATCCATATCAGCGAGAGAGAGGAGGAAGGGAGTAGGGGTCTTGAGGATATGGAATGTGATCCTTCCGAGAGGTGTTTTAAGGGCGATAGAGCCGAGGGATAGAATGGCTTCGCCGTTGCCGAATTTGATAGAAGCTTGGCCTGCTGTAGTCTTATCGAGCGTTATAGCAGGGTCTGCTCGTTGTAGAGCGATGCATTGGTCGTAGCCAGCTGTGGAAACCTTCGCGGCGCCTGTGTCAATTATGATGCCCTGGAATCAGAGTCTTGGTAGCGCTCCTCTATCATGAATTGGGAAGCAGGTGTAGCGTTGTTTTGAGAGGTGCTATACACGTCTTCCCCTGTGATCAGATGGTTGAAGGCTTGCTGGCAGAGCATTTGGCTTGTGTGCCACTGTTCTGGGTTGTTGTCATTATCTTCATTGTCGTCCTCGTCCCAGGGTCGTTAGCATCATCGTGGGCATCCATCTCGTGACCTTCAAAGTCAAGAACGTAGGCTGTAAGGTCCTGGGAGGTAATCCTATGAAGTGACAGTGGGCGACGTATTGGTCTCGGATCTTTGACGTTCCTCGGCAGTGTGCTTTGTAGACCAACATCCTTCCTTATTGCAGACGAAGCACTTCTTATTCCACGGGTGGTTGTGGCCGTAACGGCCTTGTGGGCGGTTAAAGCGTTGACTGTTGAAGATTCCCCGTGGAGCGTTGTAGCTGCCTCGTTGAGCGTTGCCTCTATACCTTCTATACCCTTCTGACCAAATCTTCCGCGATTGTTGTTGTATCTTCGATCGAGATAGTAGTGGTCATTGGGATCCATATGATCAGATGGTTCCTCGAGGTCTTGATGGTATTGAGGGCCTCCTTGAAGATAACGAGGCGCTATTCCGCGTGCAAGATGGGTCTCAACGGAAGAGCGAAGATCTGCAAAGGGGCTCGATTCCTTCGCGGGCTTGAATAAAGCGTATTCAAGTTCAGGAACACCGCGGCATGCATTAATAAGCGTTGTACGCAGTGGAACGTTTCCTGCATACGCGTTGCCAAAAGCTCGTTGGCATAACTGTAGCTTATCAGGAGTAGCTGAAGAACCTCGTGTAGAGATTTCGTAGCATTATCGGCACGGAGCTTGTTAGAAATAGTCGTCCATTCAGTATAGTAGTGAACGTGGTTAACTTCCGTATCGAAATGTTGCTTGATGCTATCGTATGCCTTGCGGAACGTTGAGGTCCAGTTAACGTGGTCAATGTAGTACGTTTGGGCTCGGCCAGTAAGGATTCGAGGAAAAGAGCGTGGAATTGGTCCGGCTTGACCTGAATGTTATAACAGATACTCATAAAGATGCGTAGCTTATCATCGAGAAGGTCATAGGGTTCCCCGCATAGTTCTTCTCTTTGTCCCAGATCTTGGTGAATTTCTGTTGTGTGTCGGCATCGACGATGCCGTTCGGGATGTCGGCCGGGAAGCGTTGTGCGCTTCGAGGATGTGGGAGAGAGGTTCTGCTAGAACGATGCTCTGTTGCTGGAACTGATAGCTTGTAGGATGTATTGTTCGTTGGGGAAGCGTAGCAGTCGTTGTGGGCGGTTCCGCAATTGTCGTAGCGGGAGGAGCAGGAGCGTCGGAATAGGCTAACGGCGTGGATGGCTCCGCCGTGTTGGAGGTGGGAGGGTTCTGCGTTAGTCGTCTCTCTTTTTGTTGTATAGCCTCCGTTCCTTTATCGAATTGGGTTACCATGAATTCGTTGTCGGGCCAGGCTGGTGGGTTATCGATCGTCTGTAGGAAGACGAGCTGTGGGATGATGTGGTCACCCTTTTCTCCTGTATAGATACCACGTCTCTTTAAAAGGTAACGTAGCTCCTTCGAAATTCCTTTGGCATCTTTCTCACGTTGCCTCGGTCCACTGTTGGAAGTGATCCTGGAAGAATTCAAGGATATTAGTGCCATGAAGGTGTACGTTCTCCTCGCATTCTGACATAAATCGTGCGGTATATGTCATAACAGCTATTCTATCTTCCTCTTGTGGCGTGATCTCATCCTCCCATCAGGTCGGATCGATATCCTGATATTGGGTCTTTGGGATCGTGAGATTTTGGACCAATTCCCCTTGGTCGAGGAAGGCGTCGTTCCTCGTAGAGGCGGGGTTCGGGGTTGGGGTCGTGCTTGTCATTGTGAGGGTTGTCACGTAGTTGTCGAATCGTGAGGGCTGTCACGTAGTTGTCGAATCGGCGTTGTGGACGCACACACTTAATGTAACCGTTAGAGTGAAGTTGGAAGGATCTATCAATGGCCTACCGGGAGCTAGTTGGTTGCCGGGTCCGGGTAATCGTAGAGTCCTTGATCTTAGCATAGAAACCTCCTCTAGGTCCAACCAGGGTCAATATCGCTAGGAATATGGTAGTTGGGCTTTCGAAGAGTTGCGTTCTATCTCTTCTTCCTTGCCAATCTGTGATCGACCAAATCGATCACTGATCAGTGTCAGGAGAGGTCTGTACTGCAGTAACGCAATGGGTTGTATTCAAGATGTCTTGCTAGGAAGGAGGAAAGGG